ACACACACACAGACACACACACTCTTTTAAAGACAACAACGATAACAACAGCAACAACGGCAACATGAACGGAGACAACACACAGCTCAGGAAGTGCAGCTACCCACAATCCTCCACTCACACAGAAGAGAAACAGAGGCTACGATTCATCTGGAAAATTGCATCCTGTTGACATCGCAGGAGTGAGACAGACTCGGAAAGCAGCCTGTCTGCTTCCATGTGCTTTTAAAAATTCTCATCTGTATGCATATTGTCTGTCTGTCTGTTCATCTGCCTGTCTGTCAGTTTATGTGCTTATTTTTCAAGCAATGTGCTTATAGGCCTGTCTCCCTGTCTGACTGGGTTAGCGTCTCTGTCCTAAGCCAGAGTCTGTAGAGTTTCAAAGGATGAGGGGAAATGATTGTGCTTCTCGGTCCACGCCGCTCCTGAGGCCAGGGTGGCGACGGAGGCGGCTCGCTGGGCTGCAGAGGTCAGAGGTTGTGTGGGAGCGGCCTCCTCGCACCGGGAGGTGAACTACAGAGCTACTGCACCAGGTTAGGAGGACTCCCTCCTCAGTTTTACTGTACAAGGCTACATGAGAAGCGCTCGCACCAGAGGGACACGCTCTCAAACACACACGCTCTCGGAGCACCAGCGTCGAGCCGTGAGAGAGCTGTCTTGATGTACCTACACATGGAGGAGGGGGAGAGGGGGAAGGGTTTGTTGGAGATGAGGCGTGGGCAGGGGATCAGTCGAGCATTGCATCCAGTTGGTCCGCCAAGTCGTCAAACATGCTGCCGATGTCGTCCAAGATGGAGACTGTCGACTTTTTGCTGGAGAGAGAGCTGTTGGATGAAAAACAAGGAGTTTAGTCGATAACGAGGCAGAAAACATTCATGTTTTTTTTACTGTGAATCAGAATTTGAAAAATGTCTTCCAATGGAAGCCACAATGTTCCTCAAACTGATTCTAACAGTGACACAATCATCGTATCTTAACATCGATGAGCAGACAGCAGTGGTGGATAGTTAATAAGTACTTTTTTTGAGTGCTGAACTTAAGTAGAACTCTGAGGTACTTGAAGTCGAGTATTTAATACTATAAACCCAAAAACTACTCAACCAACTTCCATGAAATTTGGTGAAGGGGTGAGACATGATCCAATGAAGAACCCACTAAATATTTAAGTGGATCGGGATAAAGGGGTATCCAGGATCTTTGCTTACTCTTAATACTTTTATTTAGCAAATGTATGGTATACCTGTATGTTATATCCGTAATTATGAACTATGATAGATCAAACTACCATGAAGCCTATAAAGCAGTGTATGTAAATTTAGGAAACAAATCAGAGTTCTTCTTCCACCATTGACAAACAATTACTGATTTACACATCCAGTATTCACAAAGCAACATGAACATTGGTTTGTATTTGTGTTCCTGGGAGAAACATCTGGGTTTTCAGCTGCTCAACTGCTCCACTGTTCACCGGTGTGTTGCTAACTGTGTGTGGATGCTGTTTGGTGCCGAGCAGTTGGTTTACAGTGGGTTCGGTAACAGCTGCGTGAATCATCGTGATCCAAAACGGTAAAACTGATTAACAGCTAAACAATGAGCAGAAACTCTCTTTGAATAATCCATTGTAGATTCATCACTGGAACCAACACATACATTTTATACATTCCTATCCTGAGATCAAATCTCATTCATTGTCAGCACCACATTAAAAGTATTTACATCCAGTAATTATCTCTGCTTTTATTGGTAGTGACACAGTCTGGCATTTTCACACATTAGTGTTTTATCTAATGTCAAACAGCTTGACGGCCTCCTGTTCTCTCTCTTTACACCTCATCACCGCTGCATTAAGTCTCTGTTTATGCAAACTGAACACTTCCTTCTGCTGCTTCACATAAAAATGATTACAACACAGGGGGACTTTTATTGTGAAGCTGCCGCAAGAAATTTAATGTAGCTGCTGTTACCACGGTAAACAAAGATGTCGAGGGATTTAAACTGTGACTAACTTTAAGGTTGTGTCATGCAATAGGTGAGATATATTCATTTATTCCACCCTGTTCGTTAGGGGTGAGGAATTAGGCCCAGAATATCTCAGTGCACGTCAGCCTTAGCAACCGTTGCTATAGTAAATGTGCCAGCCGGAGGCACGAGTGAGAGCTGTGGTAAATTTAAACCAGTTTATTGCTGCAAATGAGGACGAAACACTGCACCACTGACCCAGAAGTCCAAATGTTCCTCCAGCTGTGGAGACAGAAAACTTTGGCAACAGTAAACCAGAGTGAGCCCCAGCCGGCCGCACACTCAGTGACTGAACGTTTCTTGGGAGATATAATAATAGACGCTTCCACTTCCTCCCACTATCCAGAAATGAAGCCAAATTATTCCTATGAACGCTGCCATCTTGCGCCATTTGGAGCCAGCGTCTGCACAGTAGTGATTAAGGTGTGGAGCGGGGGTATCAAAGTCCCACCCACATACATCCTCAGCTGTCACTCGTGCAAACTTACAGAAACACACTTGAACAAACATCAGTGTGATAAGAACCATAATCATGAAAATGTTATTTGATGTGTAATTTCTCTTTTTGGTTTGGGTCATGTCCCATCCACTAACATGGACAGGATGGGGTTTATGATATGTACCGCAACCAGCCACCAGGGTGGCGATCAAGATGCGTTGGCCTCACTTTTAAAGAGCTGTCGTGTGTCTGTGGCAAAATATGATGATTAACTTCAGAAATACTCACTCATTTTGTGCATCCTCCTCTTTGATTTTATGCTCCACAGCCTGAAGAGCTGCAGCCAAGGAGGCGCTGGTCTCCTCCAAACGATGCTGCACCCCCTCCTCCTCCGGCTCCGCTCCCTCCACTTGACTCTCCACTTCTTCTCTAGCGCCTTCTTCCCTCGAGGGCTTCTCCTCGCTCTGACTCTCTTCCTCTACTCTCTTCCTCTCCTCCTCCTCCTGCTCTTTGTACCTCTTATGTTCCCTCTCTCTGCTCCGCTCTTCCTCTTCCCTCTTCCTCTCCTCCTCCTCCTGCACTCCCAGCAAGTCGATGGAGAGGCCGGCGATGGAGGAGCGGGGAGGTTTGACGGGGTGTGGTGATGGGGTGGAGGGACTCTGGGCCGGAGAGGGGGATGTAAGAGGGAGGCCTGGAGAGAGGGATGAACCGGAGGGGGTGTCGGGAGCTGGAAGCGGGGCAGCGGAGAGTGGAGAGGAGGGTTTGGGTGCCGGGGTGGGGCTGGTGGCCGCCGAGCCCGGGCTCATGGTCGCCGAGGCTACTATTGCTTTGCCTGGTTTGGGTGCTGTTGGAGGTCCGCGGGGTTTTGGAGATACAGGAGGAGGAACTCGCTTCGGCTCTGGTCAGAGAGAGAGATGGTGCTGTTAGATATTTCATATACAAAGTATTGCCACTTTGACATTTTTCTGTCTGTCTGTAACTTATAGCTGAAGAACTGTTCAACTTATCAGCTTCACACTTGGCATGTGTGTTGTTGAGAGCCTAAGGAAGTGCAGAGTCAATTCTGGTACAGTTTGTGATATGTTCAATATTCAGGGTTTTGAGAACTGAGTCCTGCAGCCGATTACGATTTCAGAAAGAAAAGCTGCTACCAGCATCACCACAGGCCAAACAAACAGTCCACTCCCAACAGGCAGCACGTTTTATAACTCTCAGTGAATAACTCATGATTGTTGATGGGAAAAAAGCATCTGCTCTGTCCCACATTAACTCAATGATTAAATAAGAGTGTGTGTGTGTGTGTGTGTGTGTGTGTGTGTGTGTGTGTGTCTCTCACCAGGGCTCTGTGCCTTCTCAGCGTGATCGGGCCCGGGTATGGGGACTCTGCGTGTTGGTGTTGGGGGTTCAGCTTGTGTCTTTCTCAGGGCCACTGTGGATGGTTTGGGTGAGACAGCTGGCTTCAGAGACTTCCTGGCCTCCATCCACTCACAGCTCTCACTGTTGGGCTCCGTCCTATCAGAGACCTGAGACACGGGCCTCTGCCTCAGGACCACGCCGCCGTTGTGCTGCACCTCATCTCCATTTTTCCGGCTACCATCAGTGTGACTGCTCAGAGAGTCCGATTGGTGATTGCTTTGAACAGCATTTTCTGTGTGGTCGGACTTCCGCGGTCTCCTGCGTATGGTTTCTGACGCAGTTGCCATGGTAACAACAGCGGTAGCCTCTGATACTGGAGCTTTAGACTCTGTTGCCGGGGGATGCGGCTTCCTACGGAGTGTCACCGTGCCGTCTGTGATCTCTGATGCTGAGGTGACCATGGTGGAGCGGGGCCTGGGCTCTGGACGCGGCTGTGCTGGTTGCCGAGGTAACAGGTCAGCTTCATCACCAGGGATACCTTCTGGTCCGCTGATTGTCCTGCGGCGACTTATGGCGTCATCATCCTCAGATCCAAGACCTCCTGCACGTGCCTGGCGACGGAGTACAGGCGGACTCACCTGAGGATCACACGATTTTTACACATGAATATTTACAGTAAAAAAACAATATACACTTCTCAGTCCATGACACCCACCTGTAAGTAGTTGGTGCCGCCTCCCAGATTCTTCGGCAGGGTTTTGGCTCCACCCACCATGGAGGTTTCCAGCATGGCAGCCAGGCTGCGAACACTCCCCGAGGCCCCCTCTGATCTCTCCAGGCCTCCTGACTCCTGGGCTCTTAAAGCTGATCCCAGGCTGCCGCAGTCACTGGCCCGCCGCTCTCGATAGGTTGGCAACCCAAGCAGACCCTCCCCCTGCCCTTCCCCTTCCCCGTCCCCCCCAGTAATGGAAGAACAGGACCGTTTAGGTGGTGTTGGGGGCCGACCTTTCCGACGGGGGCGGAGGGTGACAGATGATTGGCTGCGGTTGACCGTGACGTCATTGGAGGCAGCAGTACGTGCGGAGCTGCTGCGGCACACGGTGGCGTATCTAGAGTCTGATTCTGAGCCAATAAGACTGTGAGTTCTCCGTCGCTCTTCCTCCTCGCTGGGCAGCCGAAGCAGCGGCACTGAGGAATCTACCGCAGCCACCTGGGTGGAGGGGCGCGGCCGAGCCCTTGGGGAGGCCTGCTGGGTTCGGGCATGTGGTGGGGTTTGGGGTGGGGTTTGTGTCTGAGTTTGAGGAGGGGTCTGTGCTTGCTTTAGACCTGGGCGAGGTTTGGCCAGTGGGCTTGGGGCCCCGTCCCTCTGCTTCCTGGCCTCCCTCCGTGGCTCTGAGCTGCTGCTGCCACCTGGGCTGGACGGAGGCGTGGAGGGACTCTGAGGAGGCTCAGAACCACTTTCTCCTTTCTGCAGCTCCTTCAGTCGCCTCACTCCCAACATCAGCTTCTTCTGATGGCCTGAGGGGGGCAGCAGTTAAAAGTTAAAAACACATTTAGACAGGAGGAGGGAAGAGCCCAATACAGTTTGGTGTGGATCTGGAGGAAATGTTTCTATCGGGCTGTGAGCACATTTCAATTTGGCAAAAAGCTAAACAATAATTATTACTCTTACTATTAACGACTATATCAGAGAATTATATATACAATTATTGTGTTTCATTTACATGCAGTGAAAATGAAGATTTTGATTTGTGTCCGTTTTCTAGAAAGATAATTATCTTAAAATGTTTATTTTATTTGTCTTATATTGAACTATGACAGTTCAATCCATTGTTCTGTGGTTGATGGCAAATACTCTACTATCACCACACTCGAAATAAAGTGAGACCTAAAACTTATATAGCATTTGAATTTTTGAAGGATTTTGTTAAGTGGCACAGAACGTTAGGGAAGTTTTGTCAATTGTGCTTGAACAACATCAACAGCTCTTTACCTCCGGTTGCTCTGTACGATCATATGTCGCTGTGACTCACCGAGCTTAGTGATGCCGATCTCCTGCAGATCTTCAAGGCTGATGTCAGAGATGAAGTCAGTGTTTTCATATCCATTCTGCACCAGAACCTGGTAGTACTGACTGAGACCCAGGTGAGACAGCCACTCTGCCAGATTGGCCTGAACAAAAAGAGTAAAAAAAGCCCATAAAATACAGAATACAATTCAAACTGACAGAGCTGCATGTGTTCATGCTTCTGTGCGTGCAGCTACTAAAACTCAACATCTCTCTGTTTCTCAACACGCGTGTGAGTCTTACAGGCTTGTGGTCTAGCAGCCAGTCTGTGGACGGCAGCTTGCTGATCTCTGATGTTAACTTTTTCCGATGTCCAGGCTTCATGACCCCAATCGCCGTCAGGTCCTTTAACGCAAAGCACATTTAGTCACATCAGAAGGTCAACACAGCAACTGTAGGTGTTTTTTTTTTTTTATGTAAACCAATTTATGCCAAGGTTTGACATTTGTACGTGAGCTGTGTGTGATCTGCCTTCAGGAATAGTTTAGCTTTGAAGTGTCCCCCGCCCTCAGGGGGTTCACGTCATACCACTGTGTCTGCTTCAGTACACACACACACACACACACACACAGGGACTGGACACACACTCAAGGACAAACACAGGGAAGCATTTAGAGCACGGGCTGGAACACGTGGCCATGTGTGAACACAGGTATGTAAATGAAGCAGACGGAGTATGAGAAGTGACTGGTTGAGGCTCAGGACTCACACCGGGGGGGTCAGGTGACAGAGACAGGAGGGTTCATGATGACATCATCCAGGTCAGTGAGGAGCTGATTTGAGCTGGACGGAGCCTTGACAGACAAGGGGCGGGGCGTGAGGGGGTCAGGGGTCATGACCTTACCTCAGGGGTCATGCAGCTAATGGTGTCTAGATCATATCCCGCGGTGAGGAAGTGGGTGGTGTAGAACTGCAGCTGAAACTCACCCAGCCACGCCACTACTGCCTGCTTCTAGAACACAGAACACAGAACGATACTGCCGGCTCCTAGAAGAGCCCACGAGGTTCTTCTAGAGCAGAGAACACACACATGCCGGCTCTAGAACACAGGAGAGGAGACTGTCTCGAAAAACAGCAGGGAAGCATCTGCAGTAATTCCGGAGTTTATCCGTGTTCTACAACAAAATCTAGAAAGTGTTTACACATATCAGAATAAAAAAACAGAGCGACAGCTTGTCTTCATTAATGCTCCAATAACAATTACAACTGCCACTACACAGTAAGGAATATTGTTATTTATTTATTTTAGAGTGGGTTTGTTTAAATAGCAAGACACAAACTGGAGAATAAAGTAAAGAATTAAGTGACCCATTTTACATAGTGATAAGCGGCCATGCAGATTTATTTGCAGAAGCTTTGAGATCTACCACTGAGACTTCTGCACCCTCCTGATACGGTGAATGTACGAGTTTCATTCATGGTGCTCAAGCAAAGAAAACATTCTATTTGAAAAGCAAATATTGTTTCCAAACATTGTATTTATTTGGTTGATAATATATATATACAGTGTATATATAGTCGATTGGATACTTGTAGACAGAAGGAGCTGGGGAGTGAAAAATTGATATTGACCTTCTTATTATTTGGGTTATTTCACTTGTCGTTAACTTTCTTTATGGGGACAATAAAACTAGAGTGGAGTGTTCACAGCAGGGGTTGTGAAGCCTAAAGTTTCAGTTTATGGAAGGAGTTTATTTTCTCCGATTGAGCACCACACAATAAATATCCATTGACCTGTATTGTTTGCAGTGGAAGCAGAAACCACAGTGGAGAAGATCTCACAATGAATGCAAACTAGAAATGACGCTACACCTGCGCTGCATTCTGCTTTAAATAGTCAATATGTGCTACACCCTTAAAATGTTTAAGTATCACAACAAATGTAAGAATTATTATAATCGAAACATATATATATATATATATATATATATATATAAATGATTTCTTGATTTAAGAAATAACACCTTGATAATCCCACTGTAAATGAGACTGTAAGAACTGATCGTAATATATCATTGAGTCACGTATTATTTGGGTTTCATGCTTTCTGGATCATCTTGTCAACTGTGTTTCTGAGTTTAAACTTAACAAAGAGTCACATATTGATTATTAAAGACACGATGCAGCGTGGTTGTAGCATCTCTGACTACATTTCTAGTTGCGAATGACTGCCAGAGAATGTTGAATGAAAACGACCGATGACGACCGACTAAGAACTGCAGCTACTTCCATATTGTAACGCTGCTGTTGCCTGGCAACTAGTAAATGCTTGATTCTAGTTCACACAGACAGAGTTTAACCGTCAGCTTCACAGGACACACGGAGCTGCTGGCAGGTTCTAGAGCAGAGCGGCAGCATGGGGGTGTCTGAGTTTGGTGTGAGGGCAGGGGGTGGGTGAGGAGACAGAAGGCAAGACAGCAACGGATTTGTGTCTGTCTCTCTGCCTGTCTCCATGGCGACACACTTTTTCAGGCCCCATCCTCAGGGTGTCATCTGTTCAGGTGCAGGAGAACCGACTGCCTGAACCTCACCCGTGTAGATGTCGTTCTCTCAAACCAAAGGGCTGGTTGAGAGGAAACAGAAGCAACAGCAAGAGGAGTCCACAGAGCGAACCAATCTGCACTCCAAAAACTCACTTTCCCATCATCCTCCTCTGCCTTCCGCTCAAACGGACGCTGTTCGTGAACTGTGCCACTGGAAGAGCCTTGGAGTGAACAGAGGAGACAATGAAAGAAAGACGGGAACAATGACATATGTTATTTTTCTTAATTAAGGAAAATGTAGTTAATTAACTTGTTGCACTTAAAATCTTATATTTTCTTATTTTCAACTTTAGCCCTCTGTAAGATCTACACAGCAACATCACACGACAGATTGGTCCTGTAAAAAATGGATTATAGTTCAAATGGATAAATAACCTCTTTATTGCAAATTGAACTTCTTCACTTATTAATCACTTGAGCTCCTCTTAAATCAATTCTCACAGGAACTCTAGAAATTCTAGAACATAATGAAGAAACCAAGAAAACCGGAAATTAAATTATCCATAATTCTTTGCTTCGTAAAATGCTGCGAAGCCTGGAATTGGTGCTGTCTTGTCGATTAAATCTTTCATAATAATGTGGAAACAGCTTTAAAGCTTTGCTAGCTGTTTCCCAACATATCACTTAAACAGATTAGACAGCAGCAGATTACAGCAGATTAAAATATGCTCATAATGGTGCTTCCAAATTATTTTATTTCAAAGTGAGATAAGTAAATCAACAAACCCAAACACCTTATAAACGTCCACACAATAAACTGTATGTGTATATAAATATATTAAAACTGGGTGTTTTATGGACACATTATAACCATGACCTTTTGTAGGCCCGGATTCCAGCTGCTTGCAGTAATTTAAACTTCTAAATACCTTGTGAGAATTTAAAATTACAAATCGAACCTGACATAATATACAATAATTAATAAAGGTCAGTTAAATTACGTGTAGGTCTTGGTTAATCTAGGTATGTTAAGTGCTTTTCATTCTAAGGCCAACGTTAACCCCACCTAATGCACCTTATTTGCCTTTTTCTTTGTTGGATGTTACGCTGAAGGATTTGGATTTTTGTTGCCTGTCTATTGTTGTATGGTGACTGTGTGTGTTGAGGCTAATTACTCCATTTTTATTCATATTATCATAAGCAAATCTTTTCGTGAAGAATCATACAAATTGCTTTGTTTTTAAAAAAGAAAATAATACGTCCCCAGAAAGTGCGACCTGTCCCTGGCTGTTTAGAGTAACTGTTATAAATAAGGCATAGCTTATATATTGATGGGGGTAAGAAATGCTGCTTGTGTCGGATATGAGCAGACAGGTGTTGTGTCTAAAAGCAGCAATCGAAACAAACCCTTAAAGCACTTGCTGTAACGTTTCCTCTATATCTATTTAAATAGTTTCAGTCACCTGATTAGTGGTTTCAATTATTTTATTGGCACGACCTTTAACTCCGATGAAAAATGTCCTTTCAAATAAAGACGTTGCCTCCATGTTGTGTGTGGGTGAGTTTGTGTGCTTACTCGCTGACTGCTCAACAGACTGCGACTGCTCCAGGAGATGCTCCTTGGCTTTAACCGACTGGGAAAGCACAGTGGCCAGGAGCTAGAACACAACAACACACAAGAATACACTCATACACACACCCACACACAGGGGAACACGCACAAACGCACACTCAAGCATAATCACTCAAAACCCAGAAGTGCCTTGTGACTCAGCTGAGTGCACATGTAACAGGCAGATTCTGGCTCCTTCTGGAGCAGTTTCTTGCAATTGACTGATTCTGGCGTCACAGAAATACCTCCGCCAAGAGTCGCCTTTTGAAAACACATTTCAATTCACTAGATTATTCTCTGAGAAATCAAATGAAATTGAGATCTGAGTGTGTGCAATTTGGTGCAGCTTGATTTAATTTAAGGGGACTGCTGGGACTTAGCGGGCCGTGTTCTCCTGAGTGCCATGGCACACAACTGGACCAGTTATTTTGAGTGATAAAACTAAATCAAGAAAGCACTCAAGAGATCGGACCTGCAGGGTGCAGGATATCTTAGATTATAAAATGAAACTACACAAGATCGAGGGAAACCTGCAATCAACAATGCAACAAGCTGTGTCTCTATCACTTCACCATTTTGACCAGAGCTAACAAGTGGGTGATGTTCATTTGCTGTTCAAATGTGTCACCACTGTCTCACTGCACCTGGGCTTGTGCTGAACAGAAAGAGAATCTGATCTCTCCGACGGAAAAACAAACCAAGCAGGAAACAGACTTGCGGTTAACTGAAGAGTTTGTGTTTGTTTCCTTTATTGTTTCCCAGAAAGGTTGTGCTTGTTGTTCTGTAAAACTCCAATAGCAACATAAGGTGCATGCATAAACAGATATATACAAGGCATCTCATACCTTTACCCCCTCAGCTTGTGCGTGCAGGCCCGGAGCGTTAAGGCCATGTGTGTTGACTCCAGTTGTCGACTGGGTGCAGGGAAGTGGACTGGGTGCAGGGGTGGTGAGAACGTGTGTGTTTCCAGAGCTCTGCAAACTGTTTGATGATCGAACACTGCCGAGACTGCCCACGCTGCCGCTGCGCTCGCCACCTCCGTACACAAACACACACATTTCAGCATCATTTCTCAAATACACACTTTCACATTTTCACCCACAATAAAAAAAATTTTAATAAACAGTTTACCTGCCAGAGGTTTACGCAGCACCCAGATATCCTCACTGGTGCTGCTTTGGTGTCCCAGGGTTGGAGAACCTTGAGGACTCGGTTCTGCAGTTCGCGAACCTGTCACACACACACACACACACACACACACGCACACACACACACACAATTTGTTATGGCCTGACAATTTTTTTAAATCTATTTTTCAAGGACGTTCTTAAAATCTAAAAATGCAGTAATTAATTTGACTTATTTGATAATATGTGCATTGAAATTTCATGTTTAAACGTGTTTGACTCTTAAATAAACAACATCAAGCACACAAAGACTCACAGAGAGACACTCACTCACCTGTGCTGTCATGAAAACATTAGTCAAAGTGGTTGAAAAACCTCTTATAGACTACAGATCCTGAGGCAGGTTCATATACTAACAAATTCTGTCTACTTAAATCATAGTGACTCTTTTTGAAATAAAACATCATCTATATGGTTCTTCAGGCAAATTATAGTAAAATGTGTATAAAGTGGTAAAAAATGCTTTGATTTCAATATTTGAGTTTGAAAAGTCAGTTCACACAATTAACTTTTAAGATTTGCTACAACAATAGGAGGCTAATGGAATTTCTTTCAAGGTCATTTCTTCAAAATATCATTTAAAAATGACAGCAAACAGAAGCATATCCTGGTTAATTAGAAAAGATTTTAAAAAGATCTTTGATGGAAAATTGTTCCTAATGAAATAAATTGCAGGTGTAAATGTATCTACACCTCAGTGAGTGAGTGAGAAAATAAATGTCTTAGGTGAACTGATCCTTAGATACAGAACTTATACAGATGCCCCCTTGTTATGTCGTATATTAAATAAAAAATTTCTGCAGATCATAAATGTGTATCCATGTGTTCAGTGAGGTGCTGGAACAAACAGACAGATAATATATTCTATATGTGTTCTTGTGAAACAGTGTAGAAAGGATGCTTATCTGAGATTCAGAGTGCTACTACAGTATGTACCTGTCTGACTCTGCTGCTCCTGAGAAGTGGAGAGAGGAGGAGGAGGAGGAGGAGGAATGGACAGTTGAGGAGTGGAAAGAGAAGGAGGAGAGATGGGAAGAGGAACGTACCCGAAGGAGGAGAACCGAGGGGGGGACTGTGTGTTGGGGTGAGGGGCGGGTGGGGAGGGCAGATGCAGGGGGAGGACTTTAGTGGGAGGGTATGAGTGTCCGTTGACTGAGGCAATGGGACAGGGGTTGGGCCTGCGGAGCAGGAGGGTGTGGCACTGCTGGGAGGGGGAGTGGCCTGGACATGAGCCAGGTGGAGGGAGGTGCAAAACAACAACAACAACAACAACAACAACAACAACTGATCAGTCAACTTGAAACAAAACAAATCTAATCAGAGAAATAATCAAATCAAATAACTGATTAAAATGAAAATATGAAAAAAGAATACATCCATATATCCACAGGGAATATATCTCTATAAATTAAAATATAATATCAGTACGGCAATAAATCAAACAATATGGAAAAAAGCATCACAATCTAGTGGAGCAGGCAGGATAGAGTTATTAGGGAGGGGGAGGGGGGTGACAGAGGGAGGGAGGAGGGTCAACAGCCAACAGGAGGAAGTATTTGATCAATGGATGTGATTGACAGGTTGGGAAAACAGATGGGCGGCCTAGGGAGGCCGATGATGCTGCAGCTATCTACGACTAATGATCAGCTATAGCTACAGAACAGCTGCTGAACTCACACGCATGCGAAAGCGCACACACACTCACACAACCTCCCACCCGCACACAGACACACACAGCTGTGATGTGGGTGGTCACCTGCCCTCTTGATGACTTCCACCATGTTGGAGGGAAAGTAGCCCACGCGGTCATTTCCTGTGCGGTTATCGTGAATACAGCCCTTCCACCGACCGTCCGAGTGCTGCTCCAAAACCTGCCAGTGCACACAAACACCTTTCAAACATTTATCTGGACTGGGCTCCACTAGCATTACTGAGATTGTGTGAAGTCCTTTCTAAGTTGATAGTAGCTTAGCGTCTGAAGAAGGGGCCTTGTTTACTTCAATTGCATTGGATTTGGCTGCAATGCTGTTTACCCCTGAGACTCCAAAAGTGTCTCAAGTGACTCAAACACTTCACCCACCACCTCCATCGGCATCGAGGTGAATAGATAATGAGTGAATTTTCATTTTTCGGTGAACTATGCCTTAAAAATAATAATTATTGATCTAAAGTTATCAACAATGTTAAATCATTTACTGAATCTATGTTCATTTATAGTTAATGTGAATTAATTAGTTTTGCATGAACAGAAACAGTTTGTTAAACACGTAGCACTTTGAGAACAGGTTGGGTATTATGTACCGTGATAATATCTCCGGCTTTAATGTTGAGGCTGGTTAGGTCGTAGTTGTTGCAGTAATCCTTCAGTGCTCGCACTTGCATTGCAGCTGAAGCATCTACAAGATAAGAGTGAAGTCAGAGCGAGCAGCAGAGATGAATGAGGTTAAAAGCAGCGGGCAAGAGCAGAGACTTTCAGCACGGCAGAGCAGAAATGAGGCAGGAAGAAGAAGAGCAGTGGAGGAGAAGAGGTTGAAAGATCGATACTTAATGCATCAGCACTACTTCTAATAGTCTTATTTTGTGTATAAATTCATTCATGAATACTTAAAGCGAAAAACCCAGCTCTACCTCAGGTTAGTTTATATTCTAGGCATCAAGAATGGAAATGCACCACTGTGTTAAATATATGCGTAGTACTTCACTCAATGTGTCAAACGTGTCACATGCAATAGTGTGTTTGTGTTTATGCACTCGTGTACCCACCTCTCAGTAGTTGCTTGATCTCTCGGCTGGCCTGTGTGGTGGTGAACTGGTTCACGATGTCCAGGGCGGTTTGACTCAGAGTGTTTCTCACTCCTGCACTGATGCCGCTCTGGAAGGAAGTGGACGAGAAATGAAATTTCAAAACAAAGAAATATGAGAGCGAGCGTTCTGGAGGAATTTGTCACTGCTTAACCTTTAAAGCTGCAATGTGACAGTGAGCTCATCATATGGATATATTGTGTATTTGGTGCATGGATGGATATTGGGAAAATAGGCCCCTCGGCACAGACAAGTTAAAGAACCCTCAACCCTGTGAAGGAACCTCAGACTAGAAGAGGCCCACAAACAAGACACAATATTTTTGGTCAATTTGGGACTTTTTGGTTCTTATGTGTGTCTTTGTAGTTTAGTGTTGGTTCATTTTGTGGTTGTTTAGTGTCTCTATGTGGTCAGTCTTTGTTTCTTTTCAGTCATTGTCACTCCTCATTGTCATTTTCTCACTTTTTTGATAGATAATCTTCTCTTTTTGATCGTTTAGTGATTCTGCCGTTGTTATGGGTCTGTTTGTAGTAATTTTATGTCCCTTTGTTATTATTTTGTCTCCTTGTTGTCGTTTTGCGTCTCTTTATGGCCATTTGGTGTCTTCTTACTGCAGTTCTATAGTAAGAAATATTAACAGTCACTTCACACAGAGGCTCTGGCCCAAGGGCCCCCAGCCTGTGTCTGGTGGAAGCTGCTTGATAATCCACCCATGATTCACTGTCAGTCTAGCTGTGCGGACCTGCCTGCTGCTAACATTTCTTGTGTGTGCTGCCTCAGCAGTAACATCAACAAAACATGAAATGCAGCAGGATGAGAGAGAACATGGAGAACAGGCCCCGACAAAACGCAGGGTTAAGCATCAGCAGTCTTATTCCACTGAAGTCGACAAAAAGACTGAAGAACAAAACTGAGCTGGTTTGAAATATCACACGACAGGTAGAACACAAGACACTCGGCTACAGCTTTATGAAACAAGTGAACGTAACTCACACGCTTCATCACACAGATCAGAAAGACACACACACACACACACACAGACTGACAGACAGAATGACTGACAGACTTACATCCAGCAGCAGGCGTACTACCTCTGTCTTCCCACAGAGGGCAGCCTGATGTAGCGCTGTGCCAGACTCGGACTGTCTGTTGATATCTATACCAGCCTGAATCAGCAACCTGCAGCACAAAATAATGACCGCACAAACTTTTTCAATATAGAGTCTTTCATGAAACAAATGTATAAAATAACACAAATGAAAAACAAAAGTCTATAAAACCAATTGTAGAATCACAAACCTTCTACATGAATAATAAAACCTACACCTCCCTCAGACTGCAACAGATGCTTAATTCACAGTGGTGACCCTGAAGTTAAGGTTACACTAGATCAGGCAGTCAGAGGACATATGACTGACTGACAGACACATACTGAGGGGGGACAGACTGAAAGGACAAGTCTTACCGTATGACATCAATGTGTCCGTTCTTGGCAGCGAGATGCAGAGGTGACACTCCGTTGGGATCGGAGGGTTTCGGTTCTAGCATGGCTGCACACATGTTACTGCTGAGCAGGAGCTGCACCACCTTAATGACAGAGAGACACACAGTATAAGTTATACACCAGCTGCAGCGACTAGTTTCAGTACATACAGTGCACGGCCACTTCTGAATGAGATATGCAGCAAAATTTAAAGCTTAAAAACTGCAGCACAAACTGTGTCTTCTGTTTTATGGCTTTATGTTTTTTTTTATGTTTTTTCTATTGTTCAGTAATAGGTATTCAAAATATATTTGCATCATCTGGCACTGTAGAAAAATATATATTTAACATTTGAGAATTTCTTGTTAAATAATAGTTAAATGCAGTTAAATTTAAACATTTGTTTGGTTTCAGATAAATCGACTCACTCCAACACGTCCAAATTCACAGGCAAGGTCCAAAGGTGTTTTCCCAGCTGCATCTGAGATGCACGGGTTGGACTGGTGTTGCAGCAACATCTCCGACTGTAACACACACATACACATACACACACACACATACACATACACACACACACACACACACACACACACACATCTCACTTTATTCTGTGGCTTGTAACAACAACGAATCGTGTATGCATCATCAAGCAAACATAAACACTCCACATAAAAAACACATGGCCACTTTCAACATTCCAACACTCCAAAACACACACACACACATACACAGACACAGACACACTTACACACATACACGCACAATTACCCCATCATAGTGTCCATGCTGAGCTGACAGGTGAAGAGGGATCTGTCCTTCATCTGACTGTCCGTTGACTGACGACCCGGATTTCAGCAGCATTTTCATTGGTTCAGTCTTCCCCTGCCAAGCAGCATAATGCAGAGGACGCATCCCTACACACACACACACACACACACACACACACACACACACACACACACACACACATACACACACACACACACAATTGGTCTCATTTCTAATTTTCTCTGGTGTGCCAATTATAGCTTAAGAACTAATTAAACTCCAAGTGTTGCCCTTGAAATTGAAAAGAAACGTATAAACCGACATATAAACAGACTTTTAGACCAAACTAGATCTATGCATTAGTATTGAATACACAGAAAATGCGTCAGTAACGGTGAAGGTTGTTTTTCAGTATTAGACTTTAGGACTGTGGGTTGGACATTTTTGGACGTCATCCTTGTCTCTGTTTTTTTGTTTATTTTTGCAACTGTGTCACGATCCATAAACTAAATATAAAACTGAAAACAATCAGTAGATTATTTGATGACGACAATAACCGTAATGTTTGTTGTTATGCAGCAATAGATTTAGGCACAGATCCAGTCCCAGTGTCCCTCCAGGAAATGCACTCTTATTGTGTTTGACACGCTTGTGATCCTTCGTGACCCTGGGCATATTGCAAGCATCATACTCTCGGGACATCCAAGACAAAATTCTTTCAGAGAAAGGGCAACACAAAGAAACCCCAATAAGTAGCTTAACTATACCTCAGAGAACGTTACAGGGGACTGAACAGAACAGCTCAATCCTGGATGACGCAAAGCTCAGGTAAGAACAGCACAAGAACACACAGCAGCATCATCACCAGCGCCTCTGACCAGAAGACATTAAACACTTTGTCGCAGTGGCTGCAAGGAAGAGTGAGCGTGTTTCTCATGGCGGCAACCCAAGGCCCCCGGCCCTGATACCAGTGATGAGCCACATTGTTGAACTGACTAAAGAAGCCCCCCCCCCTCCAGGCTCGGTTGGCATGAGGGAGTCCTGACTCATAAAAGAGGTACTGGCAGTAGAGAGAGGCGCAGCAGCTGCAGGGGTTACAGAAGCTCAAGTCTGAGTGTATGAGGAGATGTGAGGGCAAATGAAAAGAGCTTCCACAAAGTGCTTTGGTGATTCGCTAAGATAAGAGAAAAGTTCACCAAAAACCGTGCATTCTGGATTTCAGTTGTTGAGTCATATGTCCCGTGTGTATATCAGGAATAGTATTTTGTTTGGCATGCGGCAGCGGTCATGGACTTTAAGGAGGGGAAATGTGAATCATGATCTGGTTGTATTTGATAGTTTCCCACAGAAGCTTGATGTTCACAGTTCAAATGATTGGTCTGGTTTTAGAAATTCCCTTAACTGTGTCCCAAGTTTACATAATTAGCCTTTAAAGAGGTTCCTGTTGATGTATTTTTTTGAAAAGGGTATCAGATACCGAAGTCCAGGCCTGCAGGACGTCCACGGTTTTTGGCCCTGCATGTCACAAGGGTCTTGTAAACACAATCATGACTCATAAGCTTTCATATCTAACTTTCAAAACATTTATCAGTTCACGCATCTGGCGGAGAGGAAAGAGCATTAGCGTTTGGGGTCGTGTTTCTGTCGACCTGATGAACGCAAGATGGATATTCACACTCTTGTATCTCTGTTTTGGTCTCTACCAGCTCCCAGGAAATGATTTGACAGCACAGCTTCTAAATATTCAACCAATTACTTGCTGACGTTGCTTGTGTTTCGCACTGGGGAGCTTGTGAGGAGTCAGCCCAGTATTGCCTTTATAACTTAAAGGTACAGTGTGTAGAATTTAGTGATATCTAGTGTTGAAGTTGCATGTTGCAGCTGAACACCACTCACCTCACCCTCTCCTTCCAAACATGAAAAAGAACCTGTGGTAGCTTTTAATTGTGATAAAAACTCAAAAGGTGTTTAGTTTGTCCAGTCTGGACTAATGTAAAAAAACATGGCGGCCTCCGTAGAGAGGGTCCCCTTGATGTAAATATAAAGTATTTAAATATAAAGGAGCTTTTCTGGGGTGAAGAAAACTACAAGTCATACAATTTAGATGAAACAAACTAGTGAAAACATCATGAGGATTATTCTACATTAAATTTCTGCCAATAGTTCCCTTTCACCTAAATCTTACACACTGGACCTTTAAAGGTGGAAGACTCAGGACAAGTGTCTGGGTGTCATACAGCCCCTTTCATCAGCAGGAGCCAACCCAGACTATACCATCCTCGCTAGCCCCGCCCCCTCTGGAAACAGGAAGGTTTAGCAAAAGTTATCTTTAAAAATGCCTGTACTGCCTGCACCTGTCCCCAAGCTTACATTTGGCAGCTTGACTGAAACCCTAAACACCAGAAAAAAGCAAAAAAGAATTTATAAAACCTACTGCACCCCCCCTCACACATGGTTGCTCTCAGTGACATCACTGCTGATGTCACCAAAGGTGTAAATACAGGAAGTGTTTGGCCACTTCCTCCTGTAACACATGGTGGGAAAGGTGAGTTTCAAAGAAACGGAAATGAATGAAAAACTGAACTTGTAAACACAAACTACTGAACTTTTCATTAAAACTAATGTTACATGGGCTGTAACATAATGCTAAAGAAAAATAAACCGGGATAGTTTGTGTCTGCTGGCTGCAACTTTAGGTGATAATATGGTTCAAACTATTAACAAGCAAAGTATGGCCTCTGAAAAAAGGGACAAATGGTGAGTTCTCATCTACTCTGTCACACAGATGCAGGTTAAAGTCCAGTTCTTTCTCTTTCCATGTTGTCTAATGATTCTCTTGTATCTAATCTTAAGCCCTGCCAACACAAATGAGGATATTATACTAAAGCTAAGATTTTTAGAGGGCAGATTTTTTTAAAATGTGTATATTTGTACTTATATGAGTATTTGGGAAAACGATGATGTCACAGCTTATTGTGTGCATGCCCATTGTTGCTGTGTGTAATGATACACCACAAACAATGTCCGCCATGTACCGGTGGACAGGAGAATGAGCTCAGAGAGAACGCTCACATTCTTATGGATTTGACAGATCGTTGATAGATTGATTCTTTACTGATCCCGAGAGAAATCTAGGACTCGCCACCTACTGGCCCGGGATGCTTGTTTGGACGTTGTAGTGGTTTTGTGTTCTCATCCCAACCAAGACATTTTTAAAAATGGAAAGATATCCGTTCACATAGAGTCATTCGATCCTTTGTTAATATAAATATGTTGGTTATAGCAGCACTGAACTGTAGTGAAGCCAAATTCTCCCAGTGCTCATTATGACCTTCAGTCAGATACTGAAATGATTGGAGCTTTTCTCTTTACTGACACGGAGAGAAACCCATCAAGGAGGCAGGACCCACTGGTAAGGATGCCTGCCAGGTGTGTGCCTATATTTAGAGACATACTGGGCACCACTGACTGGGAGTGTAGAGAGATGCAGCACCACATCCTGGTGGGATTACATCTCCCATCTGCCCTGAGATTTGCTACTCTGGATTCTGCCAGTGTGGAACTGGGATATTTTCCCAAGGAAAAAAGGGAAATCAGGGCTGCTCCACTTCCACCTGGCTCTCCTTCCTGCAGCCATGAAAAATGCCTCTTCCATTGTCTATTGTTTGCTGTGGACATAAATATGTCACCTCTCATAAAAACTGTACACTACCCAGGTTTATTTTTATTGCATTTCCAACAAGCTCACCTTTTGCTTCATAAGAGGGTATTATTGGTCACGCAGGGGGAAGCCAGATGTATTTGTTTTGCTGTTTTCTATGATTGTTTTGTGTTCCAGGCCATCTTGTGTGTTTGTACCTGTTTCATAGTAACATCATGAATTGTGAGGACACTGACAAATGTGTGTATATCTTTACCTTTATTGTCTTTAATATCCACGGCAGCCTGGGCCTCCAGCAGCAGAGAGATCAGCTCCTTGTTGCCGCTCAGAGCAGCATGGTGCAGCGGTGACAACCTTCACACAGATTATGTATAAAAATACACATATTCATAAATGTGGTGTAAAACCAGTGGATAACTTTGCTGAAATAATCTTCAGCGTATATAGCAGCTCCGCCCCTACGCTCTGTTTGAGCGACGGGAGGGGGCAAATGACCTACTTCCATTAATAAGCAATCTCTCTACCCCCGAGCTGAGCGTACTCATAGCGCGCCTGTGTGTGAGTGTGTGTGTCGCTAATGGATCCCTGGTGAATATTTGAGGGCCAGGCCCCGGAGTCAAATCAACGAATCAACAGACATTACACAAAGAGTTGGGTCCAATTATCTGATTCCAATCAACATTATAAAAAGATCTTTGTAATCTGATGAAGCCAAACGCAACATCATCGCAAACCAAGCATGTGCACACACAAAAAAGCTCAACCAATCGTGAGTCTATAAATAGCCAAAATCCATAGTTGTCCATTCAGAGTTAATGCTGGAACAGTTCTGAGCAAATTAAAAGCTGAGAAATGTTGGCTTTGCTTTAAGGTAATAAGTCTGCAGATTTGAGCTCCTCGGCTGGCGTCATGTTTCAAAGACCCATTTAAGCAGCGGATAATTTGTATTGTGATACGGTTGATTTGGTTTATTGAGCATAAACAAAGATTTCTTTTTCAGCCTGGCCCTGTCAGTTGGACGATCAAAACGTGGCTCAGCTGCAGGAAAAAAAAAAAATCTCCTGGATTCATTGGAGTTTGCTGAGTTTTGAGGATGTTTCTTATCTTGTGGATTAAATCCAGGATCTCTGTTGGAGGGACGGGTCTTTAACACCAGTGGTTCCCAAACTCTCTTTTTACTCTTAATCCTTTAAAATGATTCGACGTCTACTTGTGACCTTATCTCGCGTCAGTTGGACGACAGTGGTTGTGACCTTTGCCCTGATCACACAGAACAACCCATTTTTTCCAGTCTCTGGTTTGAGCGAAAGGATTTTTAGAGGATGGGAATAAATATTATTTATCATCGATTCATTTCCTGCATCAAACAGTTTGGAACCACTGCCTTAAACATTGTTCCCTACATAACTCCATCAAATGAAATAGTGGGTACATTGGAGCATGTCTAATGTTATATTAGCTTAAAGATCCATTTGAGAAGTCCTAGAAATTGTAGTAGTAAAACATTTGTCATGGGATGAGCGATATAGCCAGATATGATATCACAATAAAAATATTCGTATCGATTCAGACTGATTCATTTTTTTAATAGACAGATTTTTGCTCCTGAGGGAAGGTTTTAGTTTTAAACTTTATAAACATAACAACACTTGATAAATATTCAATATATAAATCTGAGGTAGATCAATTTTGTGTATTGATATATTTTGAACCTTTGCTATGTAAATTATATCAGGATGATTA